CCCCAAAACCCCAAAACCCCAAAACCCCATTAAGATAAATAATCTAATAGAAATGAAATGTATTTAAATTATTTGGCAAAATCAGAATTTCATCTATGATCAAAGGTGATTTCTAAATCTGAAATTCTAGCTTTACCCTTATAATCTTCGAGTCCAAGCCGATATGTTAAATCATGAATCTTGTATTTAGTTTTTCCCAAATTCATATATTAGTTATCTTTGTATATAAATAATGACTAGGGATTACATCTAGTGGCGTAAACTGATTTAAGGATAGCATTGACTTCATAGCATTACAAGTCAATCAAGTATAATTGCATTCTGTCCTTTACAATTGCATAAGGCAAAATCTGATAATTAGAATAGGGGAATGAGTAAATTCCACACTAGCCATAAAATTGGAAGGACTTTAATCTCTTACCGTTTTAATCAACATCTAAGATATGAATATATGACTAGAGTAATGAATTCTTTTCATAGAATGAACCAGCAATGATTCCTTATTTTACTTAAATAAGACAATTGCATCCAAGTTTACTCTCAAATTAATTATTTTCCGGGAAGAATTCAAACACACCGTCTAATTCGTTGAAAATTATCATGACTATAAATATACCATTCTGAGTTCCAAAAGCAAAAATATTATCACTTTTTCCTTACACTGAACAGATATCAAAGATTGGGCCTGAATTAGGCAAGTTGAATTCTTATTTTATGTTAGTGCTTTAATGGGCAAATACTACAATGAGACCATCGTCTCCTGCAGCTAGTATTTTATGCTCATCATATTATATCATTCGATTTATTTTGGAAGATAATTTGAGAACAGGTTCCCAAGGATTAATTATATCTTCAAGCGTGCTAGGGTTTTATTTACCTATATTTTTACCGAATGCATGGAACAGAATATTTTTTTCAAGATGAAAGCAACTGGAGTTATCTTTAAATTTACGGGATTTAAATATTTTATCACCATCCCAATCCCAGTATTCTCCATCGCTTGTATTAAGACTTATAAGTTTTCCACTCTTGAATATTGACTAAAACGGCTTTATGTTATTTTGTTTCACCTTTCTTAGCCCTTTGACTTCAAATTTATGACTAATAACTTTTCTCTCTCCTTCAATTTCCTTGATATCAATCTTACGAATTTGCTCATGAAGATCTTTCTCAATATTTCTTGAATAATCTTAGTATTTTTAAACGTTACTTTACTTGTTGGCAATTTGAATTTGATCCTCATTCTCAGACTTCCATTATCTCTTAGCAGGTACTAAGTCCTGATTCAATTTCTACTATCTAATCGCTCTTTACTACCTTAATTCTTTTTAGAATTTGTCTTTAAGTAGTTTGAGTCCTTAACTGTCAGTCTACGATGGAATCTAACGATTATAGTTTCTATAAGGCATCAAAATCTTTTCCTTCACTTTATCGAAAAATCTCTAGACTGGATAGGAGTTCAGGTTTGTAGCACTGAGAACTTAAAGATAATAGGATGAGTGGTTAATTAGTTCCACACAGATGGCTTAGATATTCTTCTCATACTTACCACCTCTTAGATGGCCAAATTAAGAGAAAAGAATTTGAAGATTTTTGTAGTGCTCTCTGAATATACCATTGTTATGATGGAGTAAATACGAATAAATTCTATCGTCATGTACTGAAGCATTTCTCTAAATATTTTGTAACTCTAGTAAAGCTCTTTTTATTTCTTTTATTTAGGGTCTATCTTTTGGATCATGAGCTAGCATTCTATTAAGAATCAGTTCAAATCTTTCATATTAAGGAGGGAGTTCTATAGTATCATCTGCATAAGGATTTTCAACAAATTCTCTCACTACTTGGCCTCTGTAGGTAGGTTGCCCAGTGCATAAGTATAGCAATAATACTCCTAATGACCAGATATCGCACATTTTATCGCATGAAGCTTCTCCTTTAAAAGCCTCTGGAGCTAGATAATTAATTTTACCAGCTTGTGAAAGAGTTGCTTGACCAAATGATGCTACTCCGAAATCGCAAATCTTAAAAAGATCATTGTCAAAGACAAGAATGTTATCAGGGGAAATATCTCTATGTATAATGTCATGACTATGAATATACTCTAATCCATTTACTATTTAGATCATTAGCTCTGTGATTTGATCAGCATCAATCTGCCCTAATTCAGCAAGATAAGCCTTGAGATCACATTAGGCTAGCTCCTAAATCATTACGAAATGACCGTCATCAGTAAGGAATGATTCCTTAACTTCAGTGATAAAGGGATGTTTAAGTTAGAAGGTGCAGATCTCTCTGAATAACCTCAATAATTGTAATTCAATAGGAGTATCCTTGTTATTAGCAACCATGATTTTCGAAAGTTGCTACAATTTCATAGCATATTAAGTTTAATTGGGATCCTCAGTGTCAGTTACTTAATAGACGGTTCCGAATCCTCCTTTCTTAATGCATCTTTCGATTCTATACCTGTAATCAGGCTTTCTAATTTTCATGCTGATTAGTTTATCCATTTTTATGAATAGATATGAGATAGTACCACAAATTTTATATAAATATTATTAACTATTGTCATATCCTAAAGATATATAAATCTGGATTCTAGGGGTTTTGGGGTTTTGGGG